AACAACGTGCTACTAAACAATGAATGTGTCAACCAGGAAATCAAAGAAGAAATTAAAAAATGTATGGAAACAAATGAAAGTGAAAACACAATGATCCAAAACCCCTGCAAGGCAGCAAAAGCAGTCCTAAGAGGGAAGTATGTAGCAACACAAACCTACCTCAAGAAAAAAAAATCTTAAATAAACAATCTAACCTTACACCTAAAAGACTTAAAAACAAAACAAAACAAAATAAGAAATGAGGCCAAAAGCCAACAGAATGAAGGAAATAATAAAGATCTGAGCAGAAATAAATGATATAGAAATGAAAAAAAAAAACAGATTAGGAAAAACAGGAGTTACTAATTTGAAAAATTTAAAAAAAATTGGTAAGCCTCTAGCAAGACCTATCAAAAAGAAAAGAAAATGGACCCAAATAAATAAAAACACAAGTGAGAGAGGAGAAATAACAACCAATATCACAAAATACAATTAATTATAAGAGATTATTATGAAAAACTATACACCAACAAATTAGACAAACTGAAAGAAATGGATAAATTCCTAGACACATATAAACTACCAAAACTGAAACAGGAAGAAATAGAAAACTTGAACAGAACAATAACCAGCAGAGAAATTGAGTCAGTAATCAAAAACTTCCAACAAATAAAAGATAAGGAGCACTATGATCTTTTATATGTCTATTACTCAGAAAAAATTAAAAATTCATTACAGTAACACAACTCTTTCTTTCCCTTTTACTTAATTGTGAACAACTCACATCTGAAAAAATTAAAAATTTAAATAGAACTGATGTTAAATCCTGTCCCATTTGACTGGTATATCTCAATAAAGCAAATGTGAAAATTTTTATGTCCATTCACATACTGCATATAACACTAATTGTAAAGATTATTAAATTGGAAAGAAATGTGTTTAACATGTTACGTCTTTTCAGACAAGTTTAAAATGTACTTAAATTTAAATATGAATTTTTGTTACAGAAAAACTATCATAAGGTTGTTGATAAATATTTTGAACATGAAACATTGCATTCAGATAAAACTCTGTGAGAACTGGAATAGAAAATACGAATTCAAGGCAAAGAAGATTGATGTAAAATTTCCAGATGTTAAAAAAGAGCTCGCTTATGTACATATATTTCTAGAAATAATGGTACTGACATCAAATTGTGATGTTATTTAGATTCAGTTGGATACACTTAGAAGACTGATTTAAAAAGTATTTAACTAAAAATACAGTATTTATAGGGGCCCCTGGGTGGCTCAGTCAGTTGAGCAGCTGATTCTTAATTTCAGCTCAGGTCATGATCTCAGGGTCCTGTGATTGAGCCTCGTACTCAGCAGGAAGTTTGCTTGAGATTCTCTCTCACTCTCCTCTCCCCCCATGCACATTCATGCACATGCACATTTTGCAATATTTACAATAACATCTTTTACAACTAAACAATCTCATAACTGCAATTTTTAGATAACTTTGTGTACAAACAGATACATAATTAAAAAAAATTTTTATAAGTATGAAAGCAAAACGGTGAAAAGATCACTGTACTTTACTATCTGTACAATTGGCCAAGATATAGAATGTGAGGTGATAATCATTCAATTCAGGTTAATAATAAATGTGAAATTCTTCACGTAGGTTTTAAATGTGATCTTTGTATTTTTAGTAAGATTGTATCAGTCAGAGTTCTCCAGAGAAACAGTACCAATAGGATATGTATATATACATATGTGTATATATATTGCTTTGTTTTATACAAAATTATTTATATAAATAACTATATGTACATATTATATATGTAATTATAGTTTAATACAAAAAAGATTTATTTATTATTAAAAAAAAGGGGATTGGCTAATAGTATTAGGGAAGCTGACAAATCCCCAGGTCTGCAGGATGAGTCAGCAAGCTAAAGACCCAGGAAAGCTGATGGTGTAGTTCTCATCCAAATGTTGGCAGGCTTAAGAATCAGGAAGAACTGATTTTTTAGTCTGAATCAAAGGCAGGAAAAAGCTGATGTTCAGATTTGAAGGCAGTCAGTCAGAAGGAATTCGTTCTTAGCTGAGGGAGGGTTAGTCTTTTAGTTCTATTTGTACCTTCTACTGATTTGATGAGGCCCACTCACATTAGGGATGGCAATCTGCTGTACTTCATTTACCAATTTAAATTAAGTATTTTTTAAAAATTTTGTTTATTTATTTAAGAGAGAGAGCATGAGCAGGGGAGAGGGGCACAGAAAGAGGAAGTGGCAGACTCCCTGCTCAGCAGGGAGCCTGATGTGGGGCTTAATCCCAGGACCCTGGGATCATGACCTGAGCCGAAAGCGGATGCTTAATCGCTAAGCTACTCAGGCGCCCCTACCAATTTAAATATCAATCTCATCAAGAAACACCCTCATAAGAGTACTTAGGATAATGTTTGATCAAATATCTGGGAACCTTGTGGCCCAGTCAAGTGGACACATAAAATTAACCATCACAAGTCCACCCCTTGTCAACTTGGCACCAAACATATTTCCTTAATCTATACTTAAGCTCCAGATGAAGACGATATGTCATAATGCCACATTCCTAGATGAGTCTCCTAATGCTGTCTTAACCTGGGTTCCTTTTTACCACACTACAGCCTAGAAACTTTGCATGTATAATGCCAGGGAAGTTACAGAACTCCCTTTGTATATTCTGGATCTCTCTGGCACCACTGTCCTTTATTATTTGATGCCTGATGTCTTGAAAACTGTTGTTTAATATATTTTGCCCTGTTTTTTAGTTGGTTCAGGGATAAAGAGAAATCTGATCCTCATTAACATATCTTGGTCAAAAGTGCAACTTTTTAAAAGTCTACTTTTTTTTACCCTAATTTTATAGAGTTTTTACAGTATCATAAAATTGTTCCATGAATAAATGTTTGCAGAACCTAACTACTTACATAAATGACTAGATGTTTTAAGAAATCCTAATTTATAACTTCACTCCACATAATTCAACAGAGGACAAGGAAAGTACCTTGAGATTTTTAATATTAACTTGTACAAATTCACGGTACCTAGGAAAGGTGTTAGGGATTAGTTTTCAAATAAAAAGTATAATTCTCTAAAGCAAAATGTGTTGGTATATTGATTAAATTTTAACATCAGTTGCCTAGGTTGCAGGAGACAAGAAGGAAGAATAAAACACTTTATTTTGAAAAGAATATATAGTTGATTATTTAACCACACAAGGTTGAACTACACAGATCTACTTATATGTGAATATTTTATGATAAATATAGTACTGTAAATGTATTTTCTCTTACGATTTTCTCAAGAACATTGTCCTTTCTCTAATTCACTTTATTGTAGGAATACAGTATATAATACATATAACATACAAAATATGTATTAATAGACCGTTTATGTTGTTAGTAAGGCTTTCGGTCAATATTAGGTGGAAATACTATTTTGGGGGAATCAAAAGTTATATGTGGATTTTTAACTGGGCAGGGGATCAGTGTCTCTAACCCCTGTGTTGTTCAAAGGTCAAGGGTTATCCTGCTTCTGTCCTGGCAAAAATTGCCTATATGGCTATAAAGATGTTTGATATAAAATCTTAGTCTCCATACTATAGTGGAATGTGTCGTGAAGAGCTTGTACAGCTTCTTTAGGATGATAATCTTGGCCTTTATTGTTCCTACCAAGCATAGTACTGTCCAGAAATTCATCAGATTAATTAAGACCAGGGAAAACAAACAAAAGGAGAAATGAAAACATCAAGAAAATATTATAAAAGCCAAAAACCAAAAATAAGAACAAAGGAAAACAGGCTCTGCAACCAGAAGAAAATCATTTGGAAAATTATACAAAGATTTCTCCTTTGGATTTTATGACTGTATTACCTAATAAGCAAAATTACAAAATAAGCAAAAAAACCACATGAAAGAATCGTGTTAGTTTTACCTCAGCATTATATAACTTTTTTATAGTGGGTATAGGAATTTGTTGGTGTCTGCTGAAAGCTATGGTATATTAATACTTACTATGCTACAAATTCTTCATAAATGAATTAGTTGTTTGTTATTTTGCAGGCCATGCACTGAAATGAAAACATCCTATGGGAGAAAATAACTTTAGATTCTATCTTCTATTCCAATAACGGCTTAAGTTGTGTTCCTGTTCTGGACAAAGAAATTAAGAATTTTGGGGTGCCTGGGTGGCTCAGTGGGTTAAGCCTCTGCCTTCAGTTCAGGTCATGGTCTCAGGGCCCTGGGATTGAGCCCCACATCGGGCACTCTGCTCGGCAGGGAGCCTGCGTCCCCCTCTCTCTCTGCCTGCCTCTCTGCCTACTTGTGATCTCTGTCAAATAAATAAATAAAATCTTTAAAAAAAAAAAAAAGAATTTTAAAACTGAGAATTGTCCTCTCTGAGGTGTAATGTGTGTTTTGGCTTCAAAAAGATAGAGTATATCAGTCACATATTTTATTATTATTGCTTGTTACTTGGAAAAGAGTAATTTCTGGTAGTCTCAAAGCAAAATGAGATTAATAAATGAGTATTTCTAATTTCTGTATCTTTCTTCTAATTTATGTCTTTAAGATATTGGTAATATAATATCAGATAATATGCTGTTGTTTTCCTTTCCTTTACTTTTTAGAGAGTTATCTTCTTATGACTATAGTAATAACTTTATTTATTATCAGTTTTTAGTAGCTTATTAATATTGTTCCCAATGCCAGTATCAACATAAAGTTAAAAAAATTGTCCAAGAACACTAATTTAAAAAGTGAAACTACATCTTTTAATAAATTTGATACTTTTCTTTAAGAAAAAAAAAATACATGTATGGTCACATTAATGAATTTAAATATGGTTTTTAGATAAATACCTTGTTTACCTAAAATTTTCATAAAATTTTATTTATATATTTTGTTTAAATATATCTTGTTTATATATACATATAAGCAATATTTTTTCATGAAATGTTCAAAATGTAATATTTTTGCATTTGTATATTCTATACCTGTAAAGTATCAGCAGGATTTTCTTTTGCAGATGCAACCAACAAAGTATGCCCATTGATGATTCCTTCTGCCAGGAAATACTTGAAGAGCAAAGAAGAGTAAGTATTATATTTATCCTCTTCTGTAAAAAAGAAAAAAATTATAGTCAGTATCCTACCATATGCCAAGCACATTCAGATGTTTTAACAATTTTCCTCCTTAAAACAAGTATATAAAATGGGGTAATAATTGTCTTCCTAAAAAGTACAGATAGATAGGCTAAGAGACTTATCTGGTTAGTCCCTGGGAAGTAAGTACTTTTAATATAGTTTGATTTCAAAATTATTCTCCATCCTCTATTCTGGTATCCACAAAATTTAGAGGGTTACATATGATGATAGAAAAAAAAAAGACTTTCTTTTTCTGTTTCCTAAGATATTTTTCAGGCATTGCATCTCTAAAATACCTATTCTTACCTACCAACCAGTTTGTAAACTCACACTTCATTTCTTACATGTCATAAAAATTAAGCACTTAAGTGTATGCAGCCTGAAGATTAGTATTTATAAAATTTGTAAAAATAGTATCATTTCTACATTTGTGTTTTAGGTTTTAAATTCAATAGCAATTTAAAATTGAAGACTAATCTGAGAGTTCTTGAATTTGTACTACATGTTTTCCGAATAAACAGTTCTTTGACCTTTTATTATTCCTTCACCCTCCCTTCTTTCTGAATTTTTATGAAAAAAAATCATATACCAGGTTTCTTTGACAAAATGTGTTAATATTTTTGAGATTTTGTGATATAATATAAACTCAAGTATATCTTTGTTTTCTAATATTATTGATAAGCTACATGCCTACACTTTTGTATCCCCTTTCTTTCCTTTAATACTTTGAGACATAAAGAGACAATGGTAGATTTACTGAATTATTTAAAAAAAGAGAAGCCTTTATTAATTTATTCAACAAATATTAATTGAATTCCTATGTCAGGCATTGTTAATATCTGTAAAAACCACACTGTTAAAAAATATTCCTAAGAAAGTTTGGACTTGTGGTAATGTTAACACTGTGCACAAAGCCTCTGTCAGCTTTAAGTATAAAACCTGAATAAAATACCATTAAAAAATAAATATTTAAAGGCACTGCAAAGCAATTAAAAGAAGACATCAACCAAAGCAGTTTCCTTTTGAAAGACTGTGATCATGACATGTAAAAACTTCCAGTTTCTGGCTTTTTTTTTTTTTTTTTTTTTGTGAAAAATGGGGTTCTTAAGCTCCCTTAGCTCTGACAGCTCTAAGTCATATCCCTTCCAGCTTAAGGTGGTAGAATGTAGAGTTCAGTGTTGTCAAAATAGCTGAAACTTTAGGAGAAAAATCCTTGAATTAAGAGTGCTCTGCAAAATTCACCAAATGTGCCCAAATCTGTGGTTGACCACTAAGCTACCAATGCATAAGTGAGAGAAAAAACAGTAAGTAGGTAAGAGAGAACAGTTTAAGTTGAAAGACAACTAAATCTTGTGAGATTTACAAATCTGATGCTCCTCTGAAGGCATGTATTTCCCAATGAGCAGAATCTTGTAATAAAGAAAGTTGAAGTCTTATTGACTTGACGTGGCAGAGGATAAAACTCAGGGCTGAAAACCACAGAAAGCATAATGTGTGTATAAATTATATATAAATATTTGGCTCTCTTCTAAGTTTCTAACGGTAAGGGACAGCCCTGTGTGACCAGGTTAAAAAAGCAAAACCTAAAAGCTGTAAAACTGAGCAGAGATACAGAGATACAATCTGTTGCAAAGTATACGGAAGTGAGAATTAATTTAAAAATCAGGCAAGTTGAGAGGAGTCAAGATGGCGGAGAAGTAGCAGGCTGAGACTACTTCAGGTAGCGGGAGATCAGCTAGATAGCTTATCTAAAGATTGCAAACACCTACAAATCCAACGGGAGATCGAAAAGAAGAAGAACAGCAATTCTAGAAACAGAAAATCAACCACTTTCTGCAAGGTAGGACTGGCGGAGAAGTGAATCCAAAGCGACGGGAAGATAGACCGCGGGGGGAGGGGCCGGCTCCCGGCAAGCGGCGGAGCGACGGAGCACAAAATCGGGACTTTTAAAAGTCTGTTGCGCTGAGGGACATCGCTCCAGAGGCTTAACTGGGGTGAAGCCCGCGCGGGGTCAGCGTGGCCTCAGGTCCCGCAGGGTCACAGAAGGATCGGGGGTGTCTGAGTGTCGCAGAGCTTACAGGTATTAGAACGGGGAAGCCGGCTACAGAGACAGAGCCGAGGAGTGAGCTCTAAACTCCGGGTTACCTTGAACTGGTCGCAGGCTCGGTCAGCTCGAAGCACGGCTGGAGGCCAGGGTGACGGGAGTAATTGGGCACTGTTCTCTGAGGGCGCACTGAGGAGTGGGGCCCCAGGCTCTCGGCTCCTCCGGGCCGGAGACTGGGAGGCCGCCATCTTCCTGTCCTCTGGAACTCTACTGAAAGCGCTCAGGGAACAAAAGCTCCCAAAAGCAAACCTGAGCGGATTACTCAGCCCGGCACCTGGTAAGGGCAGTGCAACTCCGACGGGGGTAAAGACGCTTGAGAATCACTACAACAGGCCCCTCCCCCAGAAGAGCAACAAGAAATCCAGCCAGGACCAAGTTCACCTACCAAGGAGTGCAGTTTCAATACCAAGGAGAGCAGCGGAATTCCAGAGGAGGAGAAAGCAAAGCCAGAGCTCATGGCTTTCTCCCCATGATTCTTTAGCCTTGCAGTTAATTTTTTTTTTCTTTTTCAAATTTTTTCTCTTTTTCTGCTAAATTTTTTAAACTTTTACCCTTTTCTTTTTTAACGTTTTTTAACTAGTTTAGCTAATATATTTTTCCTTTTTATATTTTTTCTTTATTCATTTTCTTCTTTTAATTGTTTCATGTTTTTTTTTTCTTTCTGAACCTCTTTTTATCCCCTTTCTCCCCCCACACGATTTGGGATCTCTTCTGATTTGGTTAAAGCATATTTTCCTGGGGTTGTGGCCACCCTTTTAGTATTTTATTTGCTCCTTCATATACTCTTATCTGGACAAAATGACAAGGCGGAAAAATTCACCACAAAAAAAAGAACAAGAGACAGTACCAAAGGCTAGGAACCTAATCAATACAGACATTGGTAATATGTCAGATCTAGAGTTCAGAATGACGATTCTCAAGGTTCTAGCCGGGCTCGAAAAAGGCATGGATGATATTAGAGAAACCCTCTTGGGAGATATAAAAGCCCTTTCTGGAGAAATAAAAGAACTAAAATCTAATCAAGTTGAAATCAAAAAAGCTATTAATGAGGTGCAATCAAAAATGGAGGCTCTCACTGCTAGGATAAATGAGGCAGAAGAAAGAATTAGCGATATAGAAGACCAAATGACAGAGAATAAAGACGCTGAGCAAAAGAGGGACAAACAGCTACTCGACCACAAGGGGAGAATTCGAGAGATAAGTGACACAATAAGACGAAACAACATTAGAATAATTGGGATTCCAGAAGAAGAGGAAACAGAGAGGGGAGCAGAAGGTATATTGGAGAGAATTATTGGAGAGAATTTCCCCAATATGGCAAAGGGAACAAGCATCAAAATCCAGGAGGTTCAGAGAACCCCCCTCAAAATCATTAAGAATAGGTCCACACCCCGTCACCTAATAGTAAAATTTACAAGTCTTAGTGACAAAGAGAAAATCCTGAAAGCAGCCCAGGAAAAGAAGTCTGTAACGTACAATGGTAAAAATATTAGATTGGCAGCAGACTTATCCACAGAGACCTGGCAGGCCAGAAAGAGCTGGCATGATATATTCAGAGCACTCAACGAGAAAAACATGCAGCCAAGAATACTATATCCAGCTAGGCTATCATTGAAAATAGAAGGAGAGATTAAAAGCTTCCAGGACAAACAAAAACTGAAAGAATATGCAAACACCAAACCAGCTCTACAGGAAATATTGAAAGGGGTCCTCTAAGCAAAGAGAGACCCTAAAAGTAGTAGATCAGAAAGGAACAGAGACAATATACAGTAACAGTCACCTTACAGGCAATACAATGGCACTAAATTCATATCTCTCAATACTTACCCTGAATGTGAATGGGCTAAATGCCCCAATCAAAAGACACAGGGTATCAGAATGGATAAAAAAACAAAACCCATCTATATGTTGCCTATAAGAAACTCATTTTAAACCCGAAGACACCTCCAGATTTAAAGTGAGGGGGTGGAAAAGAATTTACCATGCTAATGGACACCAGAAGAAAGCAGGAGTGGCAATCCTTATATCAGATCAATTAGATTTTAAGCCAAAGACTATAATAAGAGATGAGGAAGGACACTATATCATACTCAAAGGATCTGTCCAACAAGAAGATCTAACAATTTTAAATATCTATGCCCCTAACGTGGGAGCAACCAACTATATAAACCAATTAATAACAAAATCAAAGAAACACATCAATAATAATACAATAATAGTAGGGGACTTTAACACTCCCCTCATTGAAAAGGACAGATCATCCAAGCAAAAGATCAACAAGGAAATAAAGGCCTTAAATGACACACTGGACCAGATGGACATCACAGATATATTCAGAACATTTCATCCCAAAGCAACAGAATACACATTCTTCTCTAGTGCACATGGAACATTCTCCAGAATAGATCACATCCTCGGTCCTAAATCAGGTCTCAACCGGTATCAAAAGATTGGGATCATTCCCTGCATATTTTCAGACCACAATGCTTTGAAGCTACAACTCAATCACAAGAGGAAATTTGGAAAGAACCCAAATACATGGAGACTAAACAGCATCCTTCTAAAGAATGAATGGGTCAACCAGGAAGTTAAAGAAGAATTGAAAAAATTCATGGAAACAAATGATAATGAAAACACAACGGTTCAAAATCTGTGGGACACAACAAAGGCAGTCCTGAGAGGAAAATATATAGCAGTACAATCCTTTCTCAAGAAACAAGAAAGGTCTCAGGTACACAACCTAACCCTACACCTAAAGGAGCTGGAGAAAGAACAAGAAAGAAACCCTAAACCCAGCAGGAGAAGAGAAATCATAAAGATCAGAGCAGAAATCAATGAAATAGAAACCAAAAAAACAATAGAACAAAT